GGCCGTTTGGAGCAGAAACGAGCCGGGGGGGAGCCATTAAAGAGAGAAAAAAGAAAGAAAGGAGAGACGTAGACTGTGAGAGATAGAAAGAAAAACAATCTCAACGTTTTCTCTCTCTTAAAAATTCAAATAGAAATTCAATATTTTTTAAATTATTTTTTTTATTTTTTTTATATTTACGTTTGAATCATTATTCATTGTATTCATTTCGCTTTGGGCTGTACGTGGGTTAGATTAGTACATAATAAGATTTTTTTATTCTGTCTTAAAAAGTGCAGGTTATATATATTTAGTTTTAATAATGTTAAAAAATTTTTACAATTTAATGATATTTAGATAAATTTGGGCGAAGTAGAGTGGGTTGGGTGGTTGGGGATGAGAAAGAATGTGTGTGTAACGTGGAGAGAGGGGGGAAGTTTTAGCTAAGAGTAAAAAAAGTTGATAACCTAAGGGTAAATTTGGAAAAGTAAAATTATTTTAAAATGAAAGTTGCATATATGCTATAATTTATCAGATTTAAAAGGTTATGTTATATACTTCATTAAGATCAATAAAATTTATTATTTTGTGTATTTTCTCATATTTTAAAGTTAGTATGAAAAGTTAAGACTAAAGTTAAGGCCCGTTTGGATTAGCTTAAAAATTGCTTTTGGCTTATTTAGTCTAAAAGCTGCTTTTAAACTTGTTTGACTGGTAATTTTAAAAGTGCTTTTGGCTCTTTTAAGCACTTATAGAATAAGCAATCTCTTTGGTGTATATGAAAAAAAGTGTCTATAAAACGCTTTTTTATTTACATTTTTAACTTTTTATTTATGAACAACAAATTAAATATTTCATCCATATCTTTTTATTACATTACTTTTTATAACAATAAGTGTTTTTGACTTTTTTATCCAAACATATTCAAAAGCTCTTATTAGATATAAGTACATTTTCAAACACTGTCAAAACACTAATTAAAAAGTTTGAATTTATGCTTATCTTCTTCTACTACTTAAAAGTACAAGCACAAGCACGAGCTATCCCAAACGGGGCGACGACGAGGGTAGCATCACTGGCTTAACCAGATCAAGGAGGTCTTCCCCAACATCGATCTTCGTTGCTGTCATGCTTGATCTGCAAAATGCATATTTGTCCTTGCCATACTCAGTCAGAGACAACGAACTCCAAGGATGGCCAAGTTTTGTCGGGGTTTGATTCGTAATACCGGAGTTCGGCCGATGATGTTTTGGCTAAGAGTGAAGAAAATTGATAACCTAAAGGTAATTTTAGAAAAGTAAATTTATTTTAAAATGAAAGTTGCATATATGCTATAATTTATCAGTTTTAAAAGATTATGTTATATACTTTATTAAGATCAATAAAATATGTTATTTCGTGTATTTTCTCATATTTTAAAGTCAGTATGAAAAGTTCAGAGTACAGTTAGAGCCCGTTTGGATTAGCTTAAAAAAACTATTTTCAGTTTATTTAGTCTAAAAGCCGCTTTTAAACCTGTTTGAATGGTAATCTTAAAAGTGCTTTTGACTTTTTTAAGTACTTATAGAACAAGTCATCTCCTTAGTGCTTATGAAAAAAGAGTTTATGAATTTTTTTTTATTTACATTTTTAACCTTTTATTTATGAACAACAAATTAAATATTCCATCCATTTCCTTTTATTGCATTACTTTTTATAACAATAGTGCTTTTAATTTTTTTACCCAAACAGATTTAAAAGCTCTTCTTAATTATAAAAGTATTTTTTTAAGCACTATCAAAACACTAATTAAAAAGTCTCAATTTATGCTTATTTTATTTTACTACTTAAAAACACAAGCACAAACTATCATAAATAGGTCCTTGGCGTTCCTAATATTATTAAATCTAAAGAGTATTGTTAAATAAAGAAATTTCTAGTAGTGTTTATGAATTTGATCAAAATTGTATCAGCGTAAAAGAATATAAAAAATTAACAAATTTTAACATTGATCTATAGTTTAAAACGGAGCTCTAATTTGTTAAGTGTTTTTCTTTTGGGGTTCGTGAATTTAATTATTATAATATTTAGCTCTAAGGAAAGTGCTTCGTCTGTGATCCCTTTTCCTGAAATGTAGCTGCTGTAGTGCGTAGTTTAAGACCCAACATCTTGTTGCCGGGAGATTCTACTAATAGTTTTTTAAAACTTTTAAATTTTAAATAAATATTTTTTATTTTTTGAAAGTTTTTAAAAGAAATCTCAAAATTTTAAGTTTTGACGCGGAATGTATGATGATGTTGGTCCATTCTTACTGTAAAACCTATTTCACTTTAATAAACTGTATTTGCATATCATTAGCCAAAAAAAAAAAAACTGTATTTGCATATTTTTTAAGAATTATTAGTTTATTTTTATTTTTGTGATTTTTTATAGAGCTTATTATTGTGAATACTACGACCTTTTTATTCCCCTAAAAAATAATATATTTCCTCTTTTTTGAAATAGTGTTATTGCTGAAAACTAATAGATATTTCTCTCTTTTTTTTCTCCCTCAATGGGAACTTAACTTAATATGTATTCTCTATTAGTATCATTTGAAACATTCATAAAAATAAAAATAAAATAAAAAATAAAAAAATTTGAAACTATAATATGTATTCAAGTTTTCAATTAATGTTATTTAGAACTTATATCATGACATAACAGTCGCTTTCATATCAGCAAAACATTTCTACTTTGGTAATCGAAATATATAGAATAAAGTTTTCAACCTATTTTATGGATGCATTTACTAGAATAATACTGCAATTTTAATTTTCAATTTTCTCATTTTTCGTTCTCATACCGTTTTTCTTTTTATTATTTTTTCATTACAAGTAACCTTGCGAGTGTTAACTTATTTACATTTTTTAATACAAAATGATGTCATAATTGCACTTGTTAATTTCGAATTCTCTACAAGAAACCACAACCAATCTGAATATTGTTTACCAATCAATTCTTTCCATTACACAGCTGTAATTGCGTATCAAATTTAAGTAGCATTATCTTAAAAAAAAAATAATAATAATCTTAATGTGCATTTTCCGTGTGTTGGCATTCTATTTCTTGAAGGGGACTTTCATCAATTTTGGTGTCTAGTTAATATTCTTTCTTTAGAAGGGTAATATGAAATGACATTTTATAAGACTATATATCTTTCTATATATATATATATATATATATATATAGGAAAAACACTATACATCTTATTATCTCTCTTTTTTTTAGAAGCTTATTGTCTCTTATTCCTCTCATTACTAAAAAATAAAAAATAAAAATAAATAAATCCCTGAAAGGGAAAAAAGAAGAAGATACCCATCTCGACCCCTTTAATGATTTTTTTTTTTTTTGAAATTTCTATTTTTTTAATAATTGACACTATTAGGTAGAAGTTAATTTTTTACACCTTGCTTAGTAATAACACATTTACCTTTCAACCAAACGATGGTGAATGCAATTTCTTCTTTGTGGAACTAATTTATTAATAAGAACCTTTTCTAGCCTTCGAAGTTATTATTTTTTATTTGAACCACATCTTTAAGTGATTCTGAAGTTAGCATTTTATTATAATTTGTGTTTGGTCAACTTAGGATTCTTCATACAACTCCTATAGATTCATGCACGCGTTATCTTTTAATAAATGTTTCGCTTTCTCTCTTTTGCGAGAACATGCCTAAGGGGCATGTTCTTTTGTCCAAAAAACTCAAAAAAAGACAACTCAAGTTTCAACTTTATTCAAGTTCACGTTCTTTTAAGTTTCAATTTTATTCAATTTTACTCAACTTTATTCAAATTCTAACTTCAACTCAAGTTATAATTCAAATTCAACTCAAAAACTACACTCAAGTTACACTCCAAAAGACTCAAGTTATATTTGTTCCAAACAAAAAACTCTTAAAGATATATTTGTTTCAGAACTCAAGTTAAGAACTTAAGTTATGTATATAAAAGAAAAATATTATAATAAAATAATTGAATTCAAATTTTTGTGAAAGAAAATACTGTAACAATAGAACTTGAGTTGTGACTTAAGTTATGAAAAGAAAAAGACCTTAAATTCCGAACTTTTTTTTTATATTTAAGAATATTTTCTTTATAATGGATAAGGCTACTTTGCTACACTTGTAGAACTGTTGTTTTAACAGTCTGATTAGGTTTTTAACATTCAAATATGTGCATGTTTGCATTAAATATGTACCGTGAGATACAAAAATGCTCATACTATAGATCAGACTGTTGAAAAATTAATTCAACGCTTAAAATATAATTTTTATTGATAGAGCATAATAGCATTCCCCATCATAAATACACCCTTCTACTAAATTTATGAATTTCTTTTTCCTTGAAAACATATAAATTAGTCCCCTCAAGAAAGAAAAAGAAAAAAGAAAAGACAAGATAAAAATGTTCGTCCTTAATAAGAGTCAGTTTGACATTGTTGTGTTGTTGAACATTTTTGTTATTGTTGTAGCGATGGTTAAAAGTTGTTGTGACCAGAAGCGTGTTGGTGATCAATTATCAAAAGAAAAAATTGATCAATTCTCAAGATCAATTTTTCTTTTGACTGACTCTCTTGTGGTTAGAAGGAGTTCAAGATACCAAAAGGATATTGAATGACGTGTACCCACTCACA